GTAGAGCAAGCAGGACAGGTCAAAATGTCGGATGGAGAAAGAGCTGATTCAACCATCACGGTATTCAGTAGTGAGATAAATACCCATTTCAGCAAGAGCCTTCCAAAGTGAGTATATTATCCTTTTATGAACGATATTGATGTTATATTCTTAATTTTATACAAGAGTTATTACCTAGCCATTTAGTAAGTGCCAAATCCGTATACATATATTTTCATACTTATCTCTCGTGAATGTTTTATGTATTCTTTATATAACTTCTTCAGAATGAGGCTTTGACAAATACTACAACTCACAAGCACACCTGGAATTATTTCACGAAGCGTCTTAAACTCATGCTAATGGAATCAATATTGTGTGTAGGTGATGCCTTGGGTATACTAATTTTACAGTGGTTTTGCTCTTCCTACATAAACTATCTATACCATTTGATGCTGTTGATAAAAATATGATAGTCATTGGCGGCTGGTAAATATCGAAATGCCCTTGAACCTTGATTTTGAATGGGTAAACTGCTTAACACAAGTATCTTTGAGGCTATTTCAAAAATTCATCTTTATATCTTTCGCGCAAAAACTGTTAATTATGTCTTCTTTATCCCCCAGCTACATCAGCCTCCTTCGCTTCTGGGCAACTCTGGATGGGACTCCAACAACTTTGCCACCTCACAACTCTATCAAAGTAGCTAATGCAAATGACGAAGCGCAATCATTCAAAATACCAGAATTTTCCCTAATTCCTGTCTCAAAAGGCTTCAGTGTTTGTCTCAAGCATCTATGTGATAGAACGGTTGAGACGGCGGCAGCTGTCCTCGATGACTGACTGTACTTAATTCACTCAAATTCATGTGCTGCCTTTGTCCATATACCCTCCTCTATTAATAATTATATCTCGTCACTGACTCCCGAATTGGCCGGTACACTGCAAACAGCGGCTATTTTCACTTTTGTCCTGTTGGATGAGCTCCTTTGTCAGTCAAATGACTGTCATTAGCATATCTAAATGTATACAAGCGTAGAACTAGTGAGATACATCACCTTTGTTAGTTGATTCTATCGCCAAGATAGAAAACGTGCTTTTCATAGCAGCTTTTTATTTCATCTTATGTAGTAAAAGCTTTCTAAGCACTTTAATTTTTAAAAATTCTTTTATTGATTCTGTTTCGTTTAATCTTTACTGTTTTTCTAGCCTGTCCTTATTTCATCCCCTCTAGATACTTGGTATTTGTTCTGGATTTATTTAAATCGCTCCATGAAGTTTAAAGATTTAGATAATAAATTTCAGAGCCCGCCTCATGCGCTTAATTTATGCATAAACAAAACTTCTATGCTTCATACTTATCTCCAATAACCTCAAAATATCGAAGCTGTGATATATGATTTTCAGTTTTCCAGTAGATCTGATTTATGAGCTGTATTCACCCTATTCCGTTTAAGGTGATTAAGGACTGTTAGTTGAATTTTTGAGAGTTGGGTCTTCTTGGTGGGCCATGATCGTTGGATTCATCGTTTTTCCAACATAATAGATTGGATTCCTGGGATCGTTCTGTATTTTTATCAGTGATCTAAGAAAAGTCTGTGAATATCCTTGAAGGCAGATTTCATTTTTAACGCGATTCATTTATAATGACCAATGGTCGTTAACAAAAATATTTGAGTTGAAAGGCAAAAAACTTTAGGGCCCTTCGATGACCATTTAAGCTGAATGATCGTGGAGACAAGAAATAGGTATTTCTGAACTAGTATTCTAATCTTGACTGCTACATAAAGATTAGGAAGTCAACAATAAGGATGCATCCACATTTTTTTTCCATATGAAGATTAAATAGTTTTAAAAAATTCAACTAAAGACAAAAAATATACGGTTCTGGCGCTTTGTCATTCTGTGGCACCTGACGCACCAAGGGAGTAGCGGTCAGATAGAGATAGAGAACGGATAGGTTATTTGTATTTATCCATAAATTCCATATGGAAATCCCTCAAGTCAAGCATCATCTTTTTCATTTTCTCAATCGAAGGTAGAATAGTTGTTCTGTAAAAAGAGAAAATATGATTTTTAAGTTGCAAAAGTATGAAATCTTGATTTAATAATATATTCTGAGGTATTATACCTAGAGAAAGTTGGTCTCGATGAATTTCCTGAGATAACATTGTTAGGGGGACCTTCACTTTGAATGAAAGTGCATGAAGAAGAGATTTGTTGGTCGATCTGACCAGTTGAGGACGGATGAAACTTGTTGTACTGCAGCCGTTTGGCTTTTATACGATATTCATGTTGACACAGTCCACGAGACTTCCTCCCTTGCTAAGGGTGAAAACGTGCTGAGCTTTCGTCCATCATATGATGGACAACATCAGAGTTGGGTGTCATTCTTGTAAAGGTCTCACGTTAACACTAAAGCAAGAACACTATCTGACTCTATCTTACTTCTTATATAGACTCAATCGAGCCAAAAAATTAATATTTAAAAACCTAGATAGATCGATATAGAGTGGTTTGGTTAATTTTCTTTCATACTGGTTTATTATTTTTCCTCGATTGTATTAGTATGTATATTTGTGCGTGTTAGCGTCTATACA